ATCCCAGCTACTCAGGAGGCTGAGGCAGGAGAATTGCCTGAACCCAGAAGGCGGAGGCTGCGGTGAGCCGAGATCGTGCCATTGCACTCCAGCCTGGGTAACGAGAGCGAAACTGCATCTAAAAAAAAAAAAAAAAAAAAAGAGCCTTAAGATTCTTAGTTGCCTGGTAGAAAACTACGATGGCCTGGGATAAAACAGGTTTGCACTATCATCCCATTCCATCAAACCCTCCTTGTGTCTGCCCAATGAAGGAAAAAGTGTTTAGAATCAGTTGTGACTACACATCTATTATGTTTCATAAAACCAACCTACATCATATTTTAATTTTTTTGGAAACAAAATCCAAAGTGTTTTATTGGAGTGGAAAGGAAATTTCAAGCTAAGTGTTAAATTTCATTGCACAGCACATTCACAAGTAATCACACATAAACCCACCTAAATATTTGCAGAGATTTATATCCTTGCATACAAGAAAAAAATGTTTAACTCAAGTCCCAAGGTTTTGATTTTTTTTAAATTTTAACCCTTTCTAAAACAGCTTATTTAAAAAGAACATTTAGTAGTTCCAAAACGCTTTTAAGACTACAACTGTTTTATTAATTTACAAAATTATTTATGTCTGTGTGGGAATTTTAAAGCTATGTCTATACAAAAAAAATACGTATTAAGAAGCATGTACATTTCATCAATCATTTAAAGATAACTACAATTTACCATGTAATTAGCAACTATATAGAAGTTCTTTATTATTCATTCTGATTTGTTACCATCTGTCTCTGTTCTACACATTTTTGTTTTTATAGCTGGTATTAAAAGCTCACTACAGTGTAGCAGATACACGAAAATATTTAGCATATGCAATACTATTTTGTTTTGTTTTGTTTTGTTTTGTTTTTTGAGACCAAGTCTTACACTATCGCTTAAGCTGGAGGGCAGTGGCACTATCTTGGCTCACTACAACCTCCACCTTATGGGTTCAAGCAGTTCTGCTTCCTCAACCTCCCGAGCAGCTGAAATTACAGGTACGCACCACCATGTCTGGCTAATTTTGGTGGTTTTACTAGACATGGGTTTTCACTATGTTTGCCAGGTTGGTCTCAAACTCCTGACCTCAGGTGATCTGCCCTCCTCAGTCTCCCAAAATGCTGAGATTACAGGCGTGAGCCACTGCACCCAGCCTAGTATATGCAATACTTTAAAAGTATATTTTCTTGCCCAGGCACAGTGGCTCAAACTTGTAATCCCAGGACTTTAAAGTGGGCGATTACCTGAGGTCAGGAGTTTGAGTCCAGCCTGGTTAACGTGGTGAAAACCCATCTCTACTAAAACCACAAAAATTAGTTGGGTGTGGGTCGGGCGTGGTGGCTCACGCCTGTAATCCCAGCACTTTGGGAGGCCAAGGCAGGCGGATCACGAGGTCAGAAGATGGGGCTCATCCTGGCCAACATGGTAAAACTCTATCTCTACTAAAAATATAAAAAATTAGCTGGGTGTGATGGGACACACCTGTAGTCCAGTCCCAGCTGCTTAGGAGGCTGAGACAGGAGATTGCTTGAACTCAAGAGGCAGTGAGATTGCAGTGAGCTGAGACTGCACCACTGCACTACAGACAGGGCGACAGTGCAAGACTGTCTTAAAAAAAAAAAAAAAAAAATTAGTTGCATGTGGTGGTGCATGCCTGTAATCCCAGCTACTCAGGAGGCTGAGGCAGGAGAACTGCTTGAACCCAGGTGGTGGAGGTTGCAGTGAGCTGAGATTGTGCCACTGCACTCCAGCGTGGGCAAGAGAGCAAGATTCTATCTCAAAGAAAAAACTATTTATTTTCTAAAATTAACATCATACCTGCTATGAAAAAAATTACAACTAATTGTCTTATGTACCCTACCTTTAAATTTCAACTTTTAAGACTTTTATAGAGTATCACCTCATATATGAAAACATAACACATACTACTCTACCACGTCTCAGTAGAGAGCTAAAAAAGATTCTTCAGTGTTGTAAAGTTCAAGAAAATGGGAAATTTCTTTTCTAAATGGAGTAGTACTTCGCAGACAAATTATAAACTCCAAAATGCAATTTTAATAATAGAAAATAAGGTCTTAATTATAGAAGCATTAAATACTGTTAATATCACATTCAAAATATGAATCAAAGTTACAGTAAAGATTAAGGTTTTGCTATTTATTTTTTAAATATATAAGAACAACAAACTTTACTAAAATACTATATATTATTTGGCATTTTATTTCTACTTATCTAATCTTGTTATACACAGTGCACACACACACACACACACAAATCTTGGACTTGAAAAATCTTCAAGCTCAAAATGCTATTATTAAGTCAGCGGACTTAGCAATCTCCTACATATTCAAATTATATCCTGATAAATTCTGCTAATATTCTTAGCAGAAGCTTGAAAGTGGGGAAAGAGAAGGATAATTTTCTTTTTTTATTTACTCCTAAGGGGTTAAGGGGGAGTGGGAGGAGGGCATTTGTTGTATATCTTATCAATATATTTTCCTCCAAGAGTTTTAACATTTCTATTTCTCAAAATATTTATGTTCACGTTAAAAATTACAGAGTAGTTCACTCAGTGTGATGGCTCACACCTGTAATCCCAGAACTTTGGCAGGCCAAGGCAGGAGGATCACTTGAGCCCAGGAATTTAAGACCAGCCTAAGCAACAAGGCAATAACCCATCTCTACAAAAATTTAAAAATGAGCTGGACATAGTGATGCATGCTTGTGGTCCCGGCTACTTAGGAGATAAAGGTGGAGGCAAAAGCTACTTGAGGGTCTGAAGCAGGAGGAAGAATGCTTGAGCACAGGAGGTCAACCTTGCAGTGAGTCACGATCACAGGACTGCCCTGCAGTCTAGGCAACAGAGCAAGACCCTGTCTCAAAATACACACACACACACACACGCTGAAAACCAAGAAATGGGTTAGTCTATTAACCTGTTAAACTTCAAACTTACAATTCATTCATTATTAATCAACTATTATTTACTGAGACCTATATAAATTCCCTAAAAATTGTCCAGTATTTGTTTATCTACTAAAAAATGTAAACCTTGATTGTATTTATTTATTTAGGGTGTTTTTTGTTTGTTTTGAGGCAAGCTCTTGTTCCATTGCCTAGGCTGGAGTGCAATGACACAATCATGGCTCACTGCAGCTTCAACCTCCCTGGGTCAAGCAATCCTCCCACCTGAGCCTCCTGAGGAGCTGGGGCCACAGGTGCACACCATCACGCCTGGCTAATTTTGTTTGCGTGACCAAACAGACAAGGTCTCACTCTATCACCCAGGCTGGAGTGCAGTAGCACAATCTCAGCTCACTGTAGTCTCAACCTCCTGGGCTTCGGCCTCTCAAGTAGCTAGCTGGGATGACAGGCGTATGCCACCATACTTGGCTAATTTTGTATATTTTATAGAAACAAGATTTTGCCATGTTGCCCAGGGTGATCTCCAGCTCCTAAGCACAGATGATCTACCTGCCTGGGCTTCATAAAATACTGGGATTATAAGCATGTGCCACTGTGCCCAGTCCATACCCAGCTAATTTTTAAATTTTTTGCAGAGATGGAGTCTCACCATGTTGCCCAAGCTGGACACAAAGTTCTGCCCGCCTCAGCATTACAAACTGCTAGGATTACACATGTGAGCCACCATGCCTGTTCAAACTTAATTGTTTTTAATGTTTAAAAAATATGAACAAAAAACATTTATAGGAAAGACGACAGACACAGTGGCTCATGCCTCTATTCTCAGCAATTTGAGAGGCCAAAGCGGGTGGATCACCTAGGGTCAGGAGTTCGAGACCAGCCTGGCCAACATGGTGAAATCCCGCCTCTACTAAAAATACAAAAATTGGCCGGGCATGGTGGCACGCATCTGTAATCCCAGCTACTCAGGAGGTTGAGGCACAAGAATCACTTGAACCCGAGAGGCAGAGGTTGCAGTAAGCCAAGATTGCACCACTGCACTCCAGCCTGGGCAACAGAGTGAGACTCTGACTTTAAAAAAAAAAGAAAGAATGACTGTCCTATAGAACTGAAGCAAAGCTCCAGCTTTTATTATTTTTCTCCCCAATTTTAAGCATTATTCTAAGTCTAATTAAACATTATAACTGCAATTCAACTCTGGAAGCACATATCATATTATAAAAGGAAAGCAAAAGTGCCAGAAAAATTTAAGAGGAAACACTATCTTTGAAGTAATCTTACTCTAGCAAACTAATCATATAATAATCTAGAACATCCATTAGTTATAAGTTAAAAAAATTATTTTACAAAGAAAAACTACTATGAACCATCATAAGGACAAGTATTTTAGCTAAAATATCACTAATACCTTGTGGAAAAGGGCTAGCTGCTGACACAGTTGTTCCTGGATTTCTTCCACCACCAGGCTTTCTTCCCCTTTGACCTGAACTGTGAGCTGAAGATTTCTTCCCTTTGCCCTCTGACCCTCTAGTCTCTGAAACATCTTTTCCACTAGAGGTGTGTGCAGAGACTTCCTGGAAATTTGCATTTGTAAATCGTGCTGTAGTATCTTCCAAGCGCTTCAATGATCCAGATATAGAGTTGTTGCTAGTGCTTGTATAAGTCTAACATTTTGATTCAAAAAAGGAAGGAAAAAGAGTTGATTGATTACATTTTAGCTACAGAAAACAATAGCTGACACATTAATAAAAATAAACAAGAACTTGCAGAGTAAACGTAAAGATTCTGTTCTAAAAATAAGTCAGTCCACCTAAGAAAATCATGCAAATACAATTTAAGTCTATTATAATAAGTTTAAAAAAAAAAAAAAAAAGACAAGTATAGATAATTTAAAGATAGCTATTTCTGGATCAAATTGGAACAACTAGTAAAAGTATGTATTACACATTTATTAAACAATACACAGCAATAATGAAGATACTCATTTGTCAAGCAACATCATTTTTGTAAACAATGTCTATGCTTCCGAGACACGAAATTAAAACAGCTTTAGTGTTCAACATAGGAAGGTGACGATAAGGGAACTAAGGTGCTACAAATCCATTAGAGGACCACCATATCCATGAATTTATAAGGCTAGCAGAGGACAGAGCAAGAATGTTTAAAGAATTCAAATGAAGGCTCCTTTGCAAAAAATAGAAAGATTAAAAGCCTTTGAAACAGAAATCATTTTTGCAATTGTTACGTTGAGGAAAAAGTTATATATCGCAAAGGTAAGATTTTAAAACTACCCCTAAAAGTGGTTCTCTATCATTCCCTTGATCTGCATATGTTAAGAAAAAAAGATGAAGATTTGTATAGTTTCCAGTTTTAGCAATCACTTTTTGTACAAGGTATACCCAAATAATGGCAAATAAAATGACTATATGAAAGCATATTATACCAGATGCACATTAATCACCATGTTTTGAAATCAAAAGTTTATAAAGTACACAAAGGCAAAGGTTTTGATGTCATCATTAAATTCACTAATCTGAGGCATGTACAGCATAAAGTTCAGTAAGTGCCTGCAACATAATCGGCACTACATTTTGGTTGGATGAGTGAATACTTTTTTATTGTATCTATCTAAAATATCCGCTATAAAAATAAATCTGAAAATATGCAAACGTGAATTTTCCCACATATAGTCGCCACTGATTACAAACAACCAGATGAATATGAAAAACAAGAACATGACAATAAAATCAAGTTTCAAAATGGCTGGCATTTTCAGCAAAATCAGTTTCAAAAAGAGGAATCAGAGAAGGCATTGCTTGGAAAATCTAATCTTTCTTGCTGCTTTTCTGTCGCCCTGTTGCCATCCCCAACCCCCATCACCTCAGTGCCAATAATGAATATTCATCATGAAACAGAAGAAATATTCCATAAAAACAAAATAATCACTATTCTAACAAACTACAATCCACAAACAAGAACAAAAGTTTCAAAGGAAGTTTAAAAGAAAAAAAAAAAATCCCATTTTACAAACCAATCACATTTAAGCTGATGAAACTTCATGGCTTACTTTAGAAACATGAACCTTTTCCATGCTGGGCAGGTCAATTTGGAAACTACCCCACCTCATTTTTCAAATACTTTTTTCCAATTACTTGAGTTGATCCTGAGGTTCTCCATTCCTCTCACATGTGATCCTTGCATGACCTAGTGAAGTTTAAAAGTCATCTAAGAAACACAGTGGTGTTCTTTACTCATGTATTTTTGTTCATGTATCAAATAAAGAATGGAGAGAAAACTCGATGGAGTACTACAAATGGAAATACACTATTCACTTCCGCATGACAATCTACATTAGAGACGGTCATTTTTCCCACTTATTTAACAGAACATCTTTGCTCACACCCTCAAGTATAAAATCTGTCCATAAAAAGAATGAAAACATGACATTTGGGAGAAATAGTATTACAAAGAAAGCAATTAATAAAACAATCAAATTCAGTGACAAAAAAATCATACTGAAACCATAAATGAACATTTTTTAAATGTCCACACCTATAATTCAGAACATAATCAGACTTAATATGAAAAAGAATAAATTTTAGCTTTAAATGTTAACTTTTTTTTTTCAATGGCTCAATTTGAAATGGGATGACAAAATGTTAACAATTTTTAAAGTATACATAATGACACTAAGGCAATGTAGGGTTCGTTCAAAGAGGAACCTCTATTTTAATTACATGTTTAAAAGTGATTTTAAAAGTACTTGTTCCATAATGTGCTGTTGGGACAATATGGCACTAGGGAATTCCATTACAAACATAACAATGATTAACTCAAAATCGAGGAAGGGAAAGGTAAAAGATTTTTACCTTTCTCAGAGGAGGGCGGGAGATGGCTGAAAAACACACAATGAATAAGCCCAAGACTAAATTCACAAAATCTTGTTTCCCCACTTTCGTATTCTACATGTCTCTCATAGTATGAACATCTCACTGCTCTGAGTGTAATTTCTGTACTTAAAAATACTTATTTTTGATGCAAAATGGACCACAAAATGCACGCTACTTCATTTGGTGCTCTACTGAAAAATACACACTTTTTTTTTTTTTTTGGTTCTTTTCTACTGAAGATCAAACTGGATATTGGGCTGTATTAACAGTCTCTGAAGTGCTGCATAAATACTTTGTTCTACATTGTGATTTACAGGCCACTTAATCTTTTAAAAGGGTAATTCAGAATACATGGCATTTTTATTTCATGGCCAACTAGTAGTTTTAAGATAAGCTGCAACACCAACATACCTACTCAATAGCATTAAGTGGGAACAAAAAATATTTACTTCAAACAAAAATTTAAAACTAGATTCAAAATTAAATAATGATTCTATAACAAGTAACCAAAGAAAAAGCAGCTATGATTATTTACAAAAGGTATGGTTGTTTCAGATTAGTCTATCAGGCTCTGTCATCTACATAGGTAACCAGGAGGCAGAAGGAAGAAAACAGCCAAGAGCTATCTATGCCTTCAACCATGAGAAAACATAATGTGTTAGTTAAAATTTCAAAATAATGTACTATTGAAGTAACTCATAAAAACCAGAAATTTTTTACCAAGCCAACCTTGAGAATACAGCATGTAAGCTACCCAACAAAAATCACCTAAAGAATGAACACATTAAAAAAACAAAACAGTGAGCTGTACAATGACTTTAGCCTAATTTAGATGCTACTAGAATACTGAAAAAAAAAAAAAAGGGAGGATCAAACCAAACAAACAAAAACTCCCCACAAAACTAAGAAAAAATAGTAGGAAAAATTATTAATGAAAATAAACTCACAGTTTAAAAACCTCAAGGAACCCCAAGAAAAAGAAATATGAAGAAACGTAAATGAACTCAGTTCAGTATCAAGTTGCTTATCACTAAAAACCAGGTGTGGTGGCACATGCCTGTAGTCCCAGCTACTCAGGAGACTGAAGTAAGAGAATCGCTTGAACCCAAGTGGTGGAGTTTCCCGTAAGCTGAGATTGAGCCACTGCACTCCAGCCTCGAAGACAGAGTGAGACCTTGTCTCAAAAATAATAATAATATAATAAAATACAACCACACATAGAATCATATTATATGTAAATTCTCTAAACACTACAGTTACTAAGGAAAGATTGCAACAATGAATAAACTCAAGACCTGACTATATGCTGCCTTAAAGAAATCTATTTTAAGTTAGATTAATTTCAGTCCGGGCATGGTGGCTCATACCTGTAATCCCAGCACTCTGGGAGGCTGAGACAGGTGGATCACTTGAGGCTAGGAGTTCAAGATAAAATAGTTTATCAAGAAAATCTAAACTATTTTAATCGATAAATTGCTGACGACACATTGTGGACAAGCCTGAGAGGTGAAACCCCATCTCTACTAAAAAGACAAAACTTAGCCAGGCGTGATGGCACACACCTGTAATCCCAGCTACTTGGGAGTCTTAGGCAGGAGAATCACTTGAACCCGGGAGGGCAGAGGTTGCTGTGAGCTGAGATCATGCCACTGCACTCCATCGTGGGTGACAGAGCGAGACTCTATCACAAAAAAAAAAAAGAAAGAAAGAAAGAAAGAAATCTATTTTATAAAGGTACAAAGAAAGTATAAGCATGGGTAAAGAAACATTAAGCTAAAGCTAATCAAAAGAAAGCTAAATTCACTATATTAATATCAGCCAGTAGATTTCACAACAAAGAATATTAACAAAATACAGTGGCTTACTCATCAAGAAGACACAAAAATCCTAATTGTTTCTGTACCTACTACCCACGACTCACAATAATTGAAAGAACAAATAGACAAAAAATGAATAAGGATAAAGACAACTTAAACAATATAAATAAACTTGACCTAATGGACATTTACTGAAAAACTCCACACAGCTGCAAATCAAGACACACTCATTCTTTTAAAAAACACAAAGAATATTTAACAAGATAATCCATGTTCTACATCAAAAAAGTATCAATAAACTTAAAAAGAAAGATACAATGCAAAAATATTAAATTAAAAATCAGTAACAAAAAAAATGTGAATATCCAAAAATTCCAAACTATGTAATGCATTTTTAAGTAACTCACAGGTCAAAGAAGAAATGAAAAGGAAAACCACAAAGTGTTTTTTGAACTAAATAAAAATGAAAACATATCAAAATTCATAAAGCGGTACTTGAGAGGGAAGTTGTATCATTAAATGCCTTTATCAGGAAATCTGGTTTCTCGTTGGGCATATAAGGAGCAGAGAGAAGTCTCTGCTCTGCCCTATAACAAATACAAAGCTCAACAAACTGAAAATCACCAACTCTTGTATCAGTGAATTTAGAGGTCAAAGGGTTAAAATGTTAAACAAAAAATTGGGGCTCACACTTGTAATCCCAGCACTTTGGGAGGTTGAGGCAGGTGGACCATCTGAGGTCAGGAGTTTGAGACCAGCCTGACTAACATGGTGAAATCCTGGATCTACTAAAAATACAAAAATTAGTTGGGTGTGGTGGCACTTGCATGTAATCCCAGCTACTAGGGAGGCTGAGGCAGGAGATTGCTTGAACCCAGGAGGCGGAGGTTACAGTGAGCCAAGATCGCACCATTGCACTTCAGCCTGGGCAAGGAGAGTGAAACTCCGTCTCAACAACAACAAACAAAAAACTGGAAAGATAAATTGGTGCACAGAGAGACTTACAACTTACCTAAGCAAATCCAGGAGCTGAAACCTCTGCAGCAACCAGTAGCAGGGAAAGAAAACCTAAACTATTTTCACTGATACACTGCTGAAGGCACAGTGTGGACAAGCCTAAAAGAGAAAACCTCCCGGGGGACTCAGTCTTGGGGACCCTCATACTTTTGTGAATATTACCTCCAGGACATCCAACAGGCCCTCAGAGTGAATAATGGAGAAAGAGTCCCCCAGAGATCTCTCCAATAAAGGGGGAAAAGGTACCATTTTGAAATAACCAGAGCTTTCCTTTTCCTAACAAGGCCTGCTTTCAGAAGAAATTAACCAGGTTCTAACCTGTAGGGGTTTTTGTCAGAGCCTAACTGACCTAGGGAAGAGAAATATACAACCTCAGGCCACTCTAATCATTCTGTCCCACCTGCAGGAGAAGAAAATAACTAAGAAGGCCCTATGCAGTTCACATTCCAGGTTGTACAGGTACACCTAACGACTGAAACCTAATTATAGAAGTATAGGATGCCTCCTGTTCCCCACAATTCACTAGTACATTACTAAAGGCCTATTTATACTGTAGTTCCTTTTGCCAGGACATGTCAAAAACAACAAAAAAGGCAAAAAAGGCAGTTTAAACAAAGTGAAAAATCTTAAGAAACTAATTCAGACATGGCAGGAATGTTGGAATTATGAGAGCAAGAATTTTTAAAATCTATGATCAATATAACGGATTTAATGGAAAGGGCAGACAACATGTAAGAACATATACATAATGAAAGCAAATCAGAACTGCCAGAGAGATCAAAAACAAACAGAAATGAAGAATGTCTTTGATGGAATCATTAGTAGACTGGGACACTGCTTAAGAAAAAAATCTCCAAGCTTGAGGATATGACAACAGAAACTTTCAAAATTGAAAAGGAAAGAGAAAAAAGACTGGAAAACAAAAGCAAACAAAATATCCATGAATGCTGGGCCATATATAAAAGGCATAACATCGTTAAAATGGGAATACAATGAGGAGAAGAAAGAAGCAGAAGCAATATTTGAAATAACGTCCAAAGACTTCCCCTGGAATAAACGGCAGTAAGCAAACTAGCTATCAAAGAAACAGAGAACGCCAAGCAAGATAAATGTGAAAAAGAAGGGGGAAAGAAGAGTATACCTCTATGCTCAAAGATTAAAATCCATGAAGGAAGAGAGAGAAAAACACCTTACTCACACAGGCACAAGTATAAGAATTATATCTGAATTCACCTCAGAAAACATGCAATCAAAGAGTGTAAAATGAAATACTTAAATTGTAATGAAAGGGTAAAAAAAAGAAAAAAAGACAAGGAAATGCAATCATATAAAACGCTCAATTAAAACCACAAAAGCTGTGAGTGACAAAAACAGTAACAAAAATTAAAAAATGAAAAACAGTAATAAATATGGTAAATATAAGCCCAATTATATCAATAAACACCTTAAATGGCAATGGTCTAAATGCCCCAATTAAAAA